GCTTTCTCATGTAGAAAAAACCCGTGCAGGTGTGGAGGCAGAGAACTCAGAGAGCTGGCTGTTCTCAGAGCAAACAGAGCTCAGGGAAGGAGAGGCCTCGTTGGGTGTGTTGGTGATAGGGAAATGATGGGCTGGGGTCAGGAGGTTCTGCTTGGCCCGGGAGGGAGGGGAATGGGTAAGGTTAGACGAGTGAAACGTGACTACCTTTGCTCTCTTTCTCAGGTCAGATAGCTTGGAGTTAGATCTTATCACCCGAGAGCTGAATTAATCATGGGCTGAGCATTATAACTGAAAGGAATAGATCCAATTGTGAGGGCATGCTGCTACTCAGCTCGATGGAAACTAAAGAAAGAGGAGGAACGAAAGGTGATGCCTGGTTAAGGCTGTATTAAAAATATCATCTATGCCTCAGGGGATGGTGCTGTTCTCAGACAGATTCAAAAATACAGAGGTTTGGTTTCCCAACAAGGAGTAATGTGAGGGCTCCCCATGCTGGGAGGAGTGGGCTGGCGCTGACCTGCCTGCCTTGCTGCCTTCTTAGAAACTGCACTACAATCCATTATGTCAACTATTTTGTTTTTGCATTTTCACTTATTCCTTACATTTATTCTAAATATATGCTCTACTCGGCTCTCCTGCTTGGCAAGTATCTGTGCACAGAGCTTGAATCAGTCACTGCCATCCATAGCTGCTTTTGTTGTCTTGGGGCACTCACATAGAAAATCCAACAGATCCTCCTTTAAGAATGAAGATGCAGATGTGATGCAAGCTCAGCAAAATCCCTGTGATAAATGGAGTCTCTTCCTAGCAGCTTACTTATCTTATTGCTGAACCAGTGCCTGCTTTACAGATCTTCACAGAGTTTTAAATATATATATAATGTACATATATCTGAATAATCTATACACATATAGTGAAAATCAATATGTAATAAAAATCCAGTATACCTGCATACATATGATTAAGAATCTCTGTATTTAGGGTTAAGAATCACTGGTAGATGAAATGGTGATCATGAGAGCACTTTGGGAGGAGTTTGAATTCATTTTCACTGGAGAAAAAGGAGCATTCTGCAGATAACAGCTGACAGTGTTAACCTATTGTAAACACTGAACCTGTTAGAGATGAGAGGAGATTTTTCTGTTTGTTTTAGTAATAGCCTATGCACAGACCCTGATAAGTCCTGCACAACAGACAGCACTGTGTGTTCTTGAGCAGCCACTTCCTTCTTCAGCAGAAGTTAACTATTGCAGACTAGTAGTTTCCTAATAAGACTTCCAAACGACACTTGAATTAAAGGTAACTCTGTAAGGAAGTCTGCTGGACACCCATAGTGTTATTCATCTCTCAGAATTCCCTCTCAGAGGGGCTGTGACCATCCAGAAGCCCTCCAGTCACTCTCCGTGCAGCCCTGCTATGGGATGCCTGGCAGCCATCCCAGCAAACAAACAGCAAGTTTGGGGATGCCAAGAGCACTGAGGTCCTATTTGGCTGCTTCTGCCCAGGCAACATCCGTATGGGATTGTATCAGCAAATGATGAGCAGGCGTATAGATTGATGTTAATTCTTTTTCAGTGGTACGTGGCTTAGTGAAAGATCTTTAAAATGGAGTGTGAGAAACTCCACTGCTCTTCTTGAGCAATTGTAGGAATGTGGGATTTATCTCCCTTAAATCCCTTTTTTGTATAATCTACTTTTCTTTTTATTTTCTAGTGCTGTTCTTCCTGCTGCCAAGAGCTCAATTGTCACACAGATACTGGAGATCTATTGCCTATTCAGAAAGCAAAGCAAATTATTCTTTGGTATTTGCAGAACTATAGCAACAGCCAAAAATGTAAGAGGTGTATTTGGGATGAGAAGACCAAGAGAGTGAACAAAGCAAACAAGCTGTTACAAGTAATCTCTGAAACTGCGTGGGACATAGCAACGTCTGGGATGTCTGCTGGCACTGAAGAAAAGGACTGGATTGTGATGGGAGACTGTGGTGAGCAGCACCAGAGCTTCCCAGTACAGAGAGCTGAGCTCCTTTGTGCTGTGTCTGGTCCTGCTTTGCCATGCTGGACCCAGATGAAAGCTGCTCCCATCACAGAGGAGATGAATACCGTCTTGCAGGCATAGCGAGGACGCACAGGGTGTAATTTTGTCCTTGGGACAAAATTGTTCATGGATGTGGCCACCACTGGGACAAAGCTCAAAGCTCCTGGGCAGCATCCCAGTTCTGAGCTGTGTGCAGCAGGCAGGTGGCTGCTGAGAAGTGGGAATCCTCAGGTGTGGTGCAGTGGCATTCCATGCGCTGGTACTGCCCATCCTGCTTGTTAACACTGTGTGCACAAATCACAGGTGTGACATCTATTTGTTTCCTAAACAATGTGTTGAAATCATGATGTCTTGGGAGGGATTTGTATAGCAAAGAGAGCAAGTTTAAATTAAACATTTTTTCCTAGAGTGGCACAGTGATGTTCATTAGCAGAGGGGAAGTGACAGTGGTGGTTCTCGCAATCGGATCTGCCCACCAAACCCACCGTGGGCAGCAGCCTTTGGCAAAGAGCAGAGCTGGATGCCCTGCAGTGCACCACCACTGCCACCCAGCCTGCACGTGGCTGAAGGTGAGGGTGTGCAGGAAGGTTTGGTATTTTGCACTGTTTCTGGCTGTTCTATTCTGTTACACACCCTAAAAACAAACCCAGCTGTTTTTAAAGCAGTTCCTGTCTCAGAGTGTGACTGGTCATTGAAGGGAAGCTCCTCACCTTTTGCAAAAGCTCTTGGTGCCCGGAGGCTCGTTATTTGCTTCTCAAATGCCTTTGGGAAGAGCACAGTTTCCTAACTCACAGCCCGGGCTTTCATCCCTCTGTCCTGAAATGCAGCCTCTGTGAGACAGCACCCTGAGCTGGGGGGCATGATGTGGTGTGTGGGACAGCAGGTGCTGGAAGGAGGAGAAGTGCTGGAGCTGGTCCTTGCAGCTCTGCCTTGCAGGGGGCAGAAAGGCTCAGAAGCCTGCATTGCCAATATTACGGTGGGATGTGGACTGCCATGGAAACAGCCTGGTGCTGGCACTCAGGGCCTGCCCTGGGCACATGGTGTGCACTGCTGCCCGCTGCACTCAGGTCAGCTTGGCTTCAGCCAGGCTTGGCTGAGCAAAGGCATCTGAACAAAGGAGTCACAGCTGCTAACCAGAAACTAATTCCCTCTCAGCTCACACCTCGCCCTTGTGATGTCTGACTGTTCCCCAGGCCCCTGCTAGCAGGCGCAGGAGATGCCACGCTGTCACCTTCAGTGCCTTTCCTGCAGGAAGCAGTTGTCCATCCTGCTTGTGCCACATTCCATGTCCCAGGTCTCCCACAGCCACCTCCGCTGCCCTCAGGCCCCGTCCGTCCCCTCAGCCCCTCACTGACCCCCCTGACCCACACGTACCAGGCAGCGAGTGCTGTGCTCCCTCGCCCTGTAATTCAGAACAGACAAGCTGCCCTGCTTACAGCCTTTGAAGCTTTTCCATGTGGCCTGAAGGCAGTCCTGCCACTTTTTTTCCACATCACTGTAGGATAATAATAAGTGTGTGTCCCATCACTGGAGGAAATCCTTCCCATCCCTGCTTTCTGCAATAATGCTCCCAAGATTGGCTCTTGTTCGCTCTGCCAGAAGTGCAGCTGCCCTTCTGCTGTTGTTCTTTTTTGCTCCAGTGCTTTTTCTGACATTCTGCTGAAAAAGGAGTAGGAAAACTGGCAAAGGAACTGTTCCATGTGACAATACTACAAGGCAGGGCTGGACAAGAAAGAGGTTGAATTTTCCTGTTTACATTTTTTTGACAGATTTTGGCCATTTGTGCATCGCAGTACCTTTTGATGCTGAATAAGGTAAGGGCAGCACTTTAGCACTGTTTATATATGGATATGCCCTCTGACCAGATGTAATAGTCATACTGATAAAGGTCACCAAATGTCTTTAGAAAAAATAATTATTAAAAAAAATATTTTCCAAATTATCCCTGACAAAATGAGTATCACATCCTCATTCCCATAGTTTCCCAAAGGCTTTACAGTGAAGCTTCCTCCTATTGCTGATGAAGCACTTTGTCCCTCCTGACATGAAGATCATTGTCATTAGGACTGCTGGGACATGGTCAAAGCATCCCACAGAAGACTGATTTTGCCCTCAAAAGTTGTTGCAAAATACCTGGGTTGTGCATAAATCAAAGTGATATCTGAGCCTCCAGGGAGCCTTGGTTACGTCTGCAGAGCAGAAATTGCGGCCATCCCTGCTCCTTAGGATTGGCTGAGCTTAGCCAATGCTGTGTTATCAAGGGACAAAATTATGAGTTTCTGTCTTCATGCCACATATTTTCATCCTGCACTTCCTTTTGCAGCTGTAAAACCCAAGAATTCTGGGGACAGCAGCAGCAGATAGAAGCTGCTGGTTATTTGCACCCCTCCCAGTCCAAGGGCTGCTCAGCTGGTCACACCAAAGCCTGGAGGCTCATCTTTTGAACCCAAAAACCTCTTTTTATCTTTATGGATAGAGTTTTTGTTTGTTTGTTTTCCTGTGGGGCTTTGAATACTTTTGAACTGAAAACTTTTTCTTTTTTCTTTTTTTTTAACATGTGGCTTTTAATCCTTTTGAACTAAAATTGCTCTCCATGTGGCTGCTAGAAAGGCATTGACTGTTCCCACATGCAGTTCAACCATCTCGGGTTTGGACGTACTTAGCAGCTGCAGAAGTAGAAGCAAAAAGGAAGCACAAGTGCCAACTGTATTAGAAAATACTTCTGTGTTTCTGTGATTTTTGGAAGGTCAAGGAACTGCTGTGCTTCGCAGCTGAAGGGTGAGTTGATCAGATGCAAATTGTTTCCTTTTCCACTAACAGAGCTCTTGGCCTGTCACCGTTTTATGGAATGCATTTCCAGGGCAATCTTGCTGTATGTGACGTCGTTGGGCTCTGCTGGCTTCTCCTCACCCCACTGCTGCCAGGGAGAAACAGGTATGGCAAAGCACCCTGCTGCCGAAAGCTGCCCTGGGCTTTCTGTGCTGCTTGTTTTTCCTCTAAGATCGCTTTTAATCCAGATAAGCATCACAAACCACCCTGCAGCACTGCTCTGAAGTGGTAATCAGGAGGTAGGAGGGATTAATGGCTGAAGGAGGTGGTGGCAGAAGCCCTGGCAGCGTGGGCACAGAGTAATTCGTCCTGCGATGAGTCAGTGGGAGGCACAGTGATTCTGCATTGTGCCACATTCAAGTGGCACGGCAGTGAGGAGCAGGCAGTGTTCCCTTAGCTCCCAACCCTTTAAATCCATACTCAGCCTGGACCTGCAACTGCAGCATTGTCATCAATTAGGAGGAAATTCAGCCGTGCCTGCCTTGGAGGGTGAGGTTTTACAATACGCTTCTTCCAGTGTCATTGCATGTGGCTGGTGACAGTGGTGACATCCCACCCCATCTCCTGCCTCTCTCATTCCTGGGGATGTGGTGGCTCACTTGGCCACCCTCAGGCACCAAGCTCGCAGCCTCGTGAGCCTCACGCCCAAGCGAGAGCATGGGGTGAGCTGCCATAGGACTGCAGAGCCTCTGGGTCGGGTGTGAGCACTTAGTGGGATGGTGGTAGAGGCAAGGGGAACCCACCTGCTGGCCCCAGCCTGGAACCAAACATGCAGCTGCTGGTGGCTGCTGTGATCTGTGGGATGCTGGGCACCAGGGCCAGTCCCCTCAGATGGCATTTAGTGCCTGCAGGGAGTGCCAGCGCCCACTCCTAACGCTGGGTGAGGATGGAAAATATGGAGAGTTGTGGTAGCCACAAACAGCTACAACAAAATAGAAAAATGTGGTAGCAAGCAGGAGGTAAAGGCAGCTTGAGAAATGGTGGTTATATGGGAGGGAGGAAGGGAGAGATGCTTGCACTTGTTTATTCATTCATATTTTTACTGACCTTGTCATATTTAGGCTACATCAGAAGTGTTTTACAACCAGTGATGATTTGGGGAATGGGAGCACTCTGTAGGGTCTTTTGAAACACCTCCTGGCCTAGTCTTCCTACGTGCACTGAGCTCAGGTCATGCTGCACTGCTGAGGTGTGAGCACAGATCTTGTTCAGTCGTTGTGCTTTGTATTTTCTTTTGCTAGCAGGCTGTAATCAGCCAGGAGATGAGGGAAAAGGAAACTGCACCGTGCACTGAGACCTCTGCCTTTTCTGAGCTGGCACAGGAAAGTCCATTTCTATGACAGCTGAGCTGAGAAAACAAACCACCACCTCCCTCATATTCCTAAACAGTTGGTGAAATGGAAGTGGATCAGCTCTGATATAAAAGAGCCTTACAGCTGAAGCTTGGTGTTTGGTGTTTTGAGAAACAAGCTGGGACATCGGTGTCACTACTCTGAGTGCCTTTATCCGCTAGTGAGGTACAAAGCCAGAGCCTGCCCATTGTTCCTTGAAAAGTCCATCAAGGACGTCGGATATACAGTGCAATTCCTCTTGCAGCCATCTGATTTTGTTTCCTGTGATAGTGAAGATTAACGAGCGCTTTGTCATAAACCTCATTCACCTTTCCCTGGGCCAAAGGCAAATTCTTCAAGTGATGGAAAGGAAGGACACGAAGTCGGGGCCCAGGGGCAGCAGTGCCAGCACTGGGCAGGGATCGGCGAATGCTGCTGTGTGCTGTGCATGTGATGCCCTCGGTCTGTTGTTGCTACATCATGATGGATTGTGCTGGATTTCACTCCCACAAATCTCTCACTGATGTGTATCACAGGAGCTGTTTTGGCTGAGGACAGAGAGGGAGGCAGAAGTGCTCAGCTCCCAACCTTCCCAGCACAGGGAAGAGATTCAAAGCCCTCCCTCGCTGTCTGACTGTTGTACAGGACTCACCCCAGGTCTATGCAAAGCAGATCCGTACCTTTTGCACTTGTTCACACCCTGTCCTACATCTGCAGTAGGTTTTCACATGGGGCTTTATTTGGTGCCATGCCTGTGCAGTAATTGTGTTCTGTGCCAATGCGTGCACTCGAGCACAGGGTCTGCATGCCCCAAACATGGTGATCTGTGCTATGAGCAGTGCAGAGCAACTACGCAGGGCTGCAATTTCTTGTGCTGCATCAAAGGAAGGACGTGCATTGTCTTTTGCTAGACCCATTACTCCAGGGAAGAGCTAGCTAGGCTGCTGAGATCCGTCCCCTCATTCTGCATTCTTATCTCTCCTATGAGGTTTCTGCTGGCTTTCCCACTTCCTCATATTGTATTCCTGGAAAAGGGAGGGTGGGAGTGGAATTCTCCATCAGACCTTTATCTGCCACTGTGCACAAGGTAGTGGGCAAGCTGCAGTCCTGGTTTGTAGTGCTGTATACTGAACTTTTCCGTTCACTTAGGGCAACCTGTGCTGTCCGCACCACCGCCAACCAACGCATCAGCAAGGACTGGAACTGGCCAGAGGAGCTCCTGCTTGGGAAATCAGGTTTGATAGTGTCACTATGTTGGAGCAGATCCATCTGCTGGCTGCCGTGACGGTTCTTGGGGTCCTGGAGCAAGGTAGGGACCATCATATACCCAACCGCCTGTGTTGGTCTACCATACATCCATTATTTCCCTTCACTTCCATGCTGTGTTTCTGCTGCCAAGCTGCCACTTTACTGCTTTCAGTGAGTGATATCTTATGCGGTTTTCAAACATTAAAACAAAAAAAAGAGTGCCTGGCACGCCAGCCTCCTAAAAGCCCTTCCCCAGAACTAACACACCTCCTTTGTCTTGCTATCTCTTGGTTGATCTTCTCTGTAAACACGTAGAGTTTCCTTATTTGAAACACAGATTTGCAGTAGCTCTTGAAGTTGGTGTAGATCATAGCATAAAATATACAGGATGAGATGGGTTGCATGGAATCTCAACCTCAACCAGGGCTCCACACTGCATGACTATAGACCTCAGCATCTGGCTGGCTTATCTGTGGCATCAGTTCCCTCTCTGCTTGGCTATCAGAATTTAGAAGGGGAAAAAAAACAAAGATCTCAAATAAACAAACAAACAAATAAATAAATAAAATAGAAATGGCAACAACAAAGTGCAGCTGAACTCCCTACTATTTTGTATAGATGATAGATGATTTGTTGATTACGGAAGAAAGAAACCAGATAACCACTGGTGGTATGTGACTGCATACTGCTTGCTTCACCATTGAACGGGTACATTCCTTTGCCTTGTCTGAATGTGCCTGGCTCTCTCTGTGATGTGGGGCTGCGAGGTCAGAAGGAAGCTGCAGGACATTCCCCCTTACCTTCTGGCAGCCTCCTGGCCACCAGGCCAATCCCAATGACTGACCCATGCCACCTTTCTCTCCTTTGCTGCAGCCTACTTCTTCCTCCAGGTGATCCACGCCAGGCGCACGTTTGGCGTTTCTCCTCCCAACATCTCAGGCCCACCTGAATTTGAGCGGATCTTTCGAGCACAGTAAGAAACTCCTCTCATGACATGCTTTGCAGCACCCCTGTATGGTGGCACTGCCCTTCCCTTGCTTTGCTGTTCAGTTTCTGGGATGCCTTGCAGCACTTTGGAAGTGCCCACCTCCCCTGGGGTCCAGTTAATGGATATAAGGGTCAGTACTGGGATTCCATGAGCTCAGAAAGCTTTGAGTGGGGCTAAGAGGGTGACTGCCCAACTTCAGCATCTCTGCTGTCAGTCCTGTGTCCTGCTAGATTTTCCTCCTTTCCCTTGTTTATAACTTTTCTCTTTCCCTCTAGGGTGAACTCCTCGGAGTATTTTCCCATTTTCGTGGCACTCCTGTGGCAGGCTGGACTCTTTTTCCACCAAGGTGAGAGCAGCCCCACACCTGGTTGGGTGCAGGTCTGAAGTGCTGCCTCTGTCCTCAGGTCCTGCTCATCTTCTGAGGCATGAATTAGGCAGCAATAATGTCTGATAGGAGTTCAGAGCTGGTGGGCACTGCCTCTTTTCCTCCCTTCTGCTCTCCATTTGGGAGCTCTGTAAATCCTTTGGAATGGTCACTATGATCTCTCTCAACCACAGGTCTGGCTGCAGCCCTGGGCCTGCTCTATCTTTACTCCCGCTACTGCTACTTTATGGGATACAGAGCATCATCCTCAGACAGGTAACACCTCCAACCAGTGCTGACTGCTGGGTCACAGTTTGCTCAGCTCCACAAGCTGTTTCGGAGCTGCTGTGTGAACCAGTGCTGGGCACAGCATGGGCAAGGGCCATGGGGTGGGGCTGGAGCCAGGGCTGCCTCTCAAACCCCTCGGTGGAGCGAAGCATTCCCACAGCAGCACAGTGATGCTCGGTCTCTCCCCCTCCAGGCTCACCCCCATCTACTTCAGCAGCGGCGTTCTCTGGGTGCTCGTCGCAGCAGCGACCCTGGGCCTCCTGCATTTCTTTCTCTCTCACTATGTGGGTCTGAATGTCCTCCGGCTGCTTGCAGCGTGATGTCCTGGTCATCACTGGCATCACCACTTCGTATCTGCTCCCAGCTACAAGCCCATCTCACTGTGCTTCCAACACCTGTGCAGCTGGCAGAGCCACAGGGCCGTTCTGAAGGCTGTTTGTGCCCAGCACTCCGTGCCTAGCTGCTCTGTATGACTGATGGCCAAACCTTCTCCGAAGCAAGTAATATTTTTGGAAAACAGGAGAAGTAAGCTCTTCTCAGCCCCTGCATCCAGCCCAGGCACCGTGGGGTCAGTGCAGCCTCCCATGGTGCACAGCAGGAAGGGAATTTCTGAGGAAGCACCTATGGGCTGGGGCAGGGCAGAGACAAGGGGCGACCCAGAGCAGGTCCCTGCACACTGCTGGCTGTGCTGCGCCAGTGCTGCTGCACACAGCGTGCACAGGAGCTGCTGCCAATAAAAGGATGCTGAGCTTGCTGAGCTGTGCATGTCCTCATGGGTCTGCATCTGGCATAGGGCAAAACCTGTGTTTTGGGGTGCAGGGCTGTTTGGTTTCCCTGCAGGGATGGGGACAATAGTAGTGCAAAGCTGTTTTTCAGCAGTGCAGAGCACTTCAGGTGGGCTCAGTCCCTGTGACAACAGGACTGGAAACGCCGATCCTATGGGCTGGCAGTGCACAGCTCAGGGAACAGCAGAGGTGCTCTGAGCCCTCAGCACCAGAAACCTTTCACCAAATTCGGCAAGAACAGCTGCATCAGCGTGCTGCTGGAATAACGGTTGTATACCCCGTCATGCTCCCTCCTTCCCCAGTGACAGGCATATCTTACACATGAAGAACACAAGGCACTTTTTGGGGAAGTTATGAACTTTGCGAATTGCTTAACTTCCTTCCCTGAGGTTTAAATTGCTTTGTCCAGCAGAGCCCCAGTCTGTTTCCCTTTCAGGCTCTTGAATCCGTGCAAACAATTCAATTCCAAACAAAAATAACAGCACTCATCTGTGCAAAGTTTCCAGCACAGCTCCAACCTTACAGGAACGCCCTGGATGTGAAATTCCCCCCCTTCAAGCCCCCCTTCAAGCCCCCCTTCAAGCCCCTGCAGGGCTTGCAGTAGGAGGAGAGCTGCTCCCCTCTCCCAGGGATGCTGCCATCGCTCTGTTCTTCCTGTACCAGGATAGCAAAACAAAAAAACGAAAACACTTTCGATCGGGACCATGGCTCCACGTCCACGTTTGGGATTTATCAGGTTCAGACGGAGCCTCTGTTCGCCCCGCTGGGGGCACCAGAGGGCGCCGGCACCACGCTGCGGGGCTGGGGGGAGCGGGACCGGGAGCTGGAGAACGAGATTGGGGAGGCCGAGGGAACGGGGGGATCAGGGCTGGCCGCTCCCGGAATGGGCAGAATGTCCCACTGCTCCCCCCACGCACACGAGGCCGGGCGGCATTTGTGGGGTAGGCAGGTTACAGATGTCACTGTAAATGCAATGCAGTACGTGATGGTGCATTGAATGAGGTGGCTTAGTACTGGGAATCGGTGATCTCGAAGGTCCAGGCTAGATGGTTCTGGAATTCTGTGTCTTCTGCACACAGCTTTTTGTGGCCCATTTCATCCAGCCCTGCTATTAAGGTTATTGGTGGGAGGGAGTCCTGTAGCCCCACAGAAATCATCCTGACATGTCTTAGTAATGACCTGAGAGCCCCTGCAAGTGCCTTACAGGTTCCTGGACCTTTCTGCTCCCTGTCCTGCTGCCAGCAGGAGAGTAGTTCAGCTCAGGGTACCTGGAAGGAAATTTGCAGCTGGATGAATGGGAGCTCAGCAAACAACTAAGGAAGCATGGAGAAGCAGTGAGAATCCTTCTATACTGAGAAAAGCTCAAAACCAGGCCTTCCTTCTGCAGGTCTCACTGCCCTGTACAAAGTGAGGAGGTGGAGGCGCAGACCTCTGCTCACCCGCAAAGCCACTGCCACCCCTGCAGGGATGGCCATGTGCATGCACGCTTGGATTCATTGCACGTGCAGGAACTGAGGCCCTTGTAGGGCTTTCATGCTCCACTGAAGAAGTTCATAGCAAGTTATCTTGAAAACATCAAGGGTGCACAAATATTGTTTCCTATCCAACATGTGACAGCTGCGCAGGATACGTGCACAAAGAGGTCTGGTGTACAGAACACGACAGGGCTGCATGCAGCCCACAGCACCCAAATGCTGTGCCTGGGGCCAGAGAAGGCCATGAGGCTGGCAGCAGGAAGAATGACTTGTTACCAGAGGGAATATCTCCTTGAGGTGCTGCACATGCAGCCCTGCTGAGCTGGGAAGGGAAAAGGGTGCAGCAGGTGGCCTGGTGTTGTGGCTGGCATGGCACCAAGGTTCCCATAGCACCAACATCCATGGGCCAAGGGGAGGGAGGGAAGTAGGTCAGAGTAGGTGACAGTACCCAGACAGGGCTCAGGCTGATGAGGGAAAGAGGATGAAGCAGAGGACAAAAGTAGAGGGGAAGGAGACAGGTAAAGAATGAAAAAAGAGAAACAAAGCTTTCATATTTCGAACAGTTCATTTCTTTCCCTTAAGGGGGAAAAAAAAAAAAAAAAGAGGAAAACCCCTTAAAGCCATCTTTGTATATCAGCACTGAGAGACCAAGGCCAGCACCCAACTCCTGCCCATCTGACAACGAGCTGCGACGGAATTCAGATGCTAATTTGCAGCCGAGCTCCTCAATGGGTCTTTATTCCCTCAGCTCCGGCTCCCGGCAGACCGGCCAATGAAGGAAGCTCGGCAGCGGCACGAAGAAGTTTCCCTTTCCCTCCCCTTTCCCTCCTTCCCTCACCCCGATGCCGTTATCGGCTCATCTCGGTTTTATTTGCTGACATTCGAGGGCAAGGAAAAGGGAAGGAAGTTGTGCAACAGGAATAACCACTGTTGCGACCCATTTTATGAGCAAGGGCTGCAGGGACCTCAGCAGCGTGCATCAGAGCAAGGGGTGCTTTGCTCCGAGGAAATCGAGGAGTGCACGTGCATCGGCAGAAACCAAGAGGTTGGCACGGTGCTGGTGGAGATTGAGCGAGAGGGGGGTGCGGAGTTGGTGCAGGGATGCAGAGAGGGGCTGCAGGGAGGTGTGGATGTTCCTGCAGACCGAGAAGGGCAGGCAAATACTGCCTGCAGTGAAAGAACATTCCTAGATTAGATACCATGGTAAAACCCAAGCAAAACCAAAGCTGTTCGCCATTTTGTGTATTATCAGTCAAGATAGGGAGGCCAGGAAAATCCACATGTAAAGGTTAAAATTTGCCTAATCTTCACCAGTTTTGTACATCCCAGTAAATAACTCTTCTCAGGCAGCACAAAGAATTGATCTTTTCCTGGTTAGGACAGAGCTGTAGTATACACAAGGTAGGTGGGATCTAACGCAGCCTCTGAAGGAGAGCATGGACACATGCTGCAGTGGATTAGAGGAGATGATGGCTTGCTTCTGCCAGGTCTAAAACCAACAGAGAGCAAAAGCAGAGCTGGCACTCAGGAAGATGCACAGAGCACTCCTGGTCTGTACATCAGCTGTATCACTTGGGCACTGTGTCACTCAACAGGAGAAAACAGAGTGATCCCACACAGTCAGAGCAGTGTTACCACATGCGACAGGCGGCGGGGATCACCAGGTCAGCAAACATGAAAACAGTGAACTCTGGTGGTCACTGCTCCTGGGCTAAGACAGGCTTCATCTCATGACTCCACATCACGGTCAGATCTATGGCTCATCAACTGCAGTGGTTCCCCTGCCTCAGTGCCTGCAGCCCTCCCTGCCTGTGTCCCTGGAAGCTGCTCCTTGTCTGTCATGATGCTCCCAGGAATAACGAGTTTGGCAAGGGCTGTGTGCTAGAGCTGCACTGTTATCTGTCCAGCTACATAGATAATGCAGCACACTCCCCCAAGACCAGACTGGGGCACCCAAACTGTAAAGAATTTACAGATTTACAGCTCATTTTGCTTCTGGGAGGGAATAAAGAAATGCAGACAAGGCTAATTGCAGTGGATGCACATGGACACTTGCCCACCTCCCTCCTGGCAGGTGCAATGCCAAAGTGCCAAAGAGCTGCAAATGTTCTGCCTGAGCCCAGAAGCAGCCTTCCCAGAGACCAGCCTTTTTAGCTCACCCAGCATGGCCAGATGGCTGCTGGTTCAGAGCTGACTCATGCCCACCACGCTCAGTCAGGCAAAGCATGCAGACAGCTGAGGTGTGCTGGGAGAGGACTCCTCTTGCTGTAGCTGCATTCCCAGAGGATGTGATCACACAGGCAATTCTTCCACGTTGCCAGAGAGGAAGGATGCTCTAAGCATAAGCTGTGAATAACCTGGTGGTATAAAGGCAAGGGTGATAGATTCAAACAGGACAGAAGCTTCAGAGAAAAGTAATCTTACCAATACCAAAGACTTGGTATCTGCCTCTATCTTCAACAAAGTGTAGCAGCTTCTCAAATTGGCTTCCAGACAGACTTTTCAGTAAACTTGATAAGGAAAGCAGAAACATGAGCTCTTGCCCAGCTTCTGCTGCAGAGCACTATATTCAGTGTAATGAATAAGGACAGAAGGGGTGAAAAGGAAGAAAGGAAAGGTGAAGTGTAATCAAAAAGCTTCTGGACTTACCCAAAACAAAAGGGAGTTGGAGGCTGTTTTAGCAAAGCAATAAAAAGAACAAATCATGAATGTGGCCACGTTATCTAATATGGTAGAACACACAACATGCATATTTAATAGTATTGTTTAGCTTGTGTTTATCACAGCTAGAGGCAGCATCTAGTGCTATGGGTAGGGACAGAAAGGTTATAATTGAACTCTGGGGCTTCTGAGTCTCATGTGGAGAAACTAACTGTTAATAGTTCTATATTATGGAACTTCTATATATTCCCCATTTTCAGACCTCAAATAATACAGCAAGTCAGCTGCTAGCAGCATTTGGTGAGAGATAATCAGGTTTGCAGATTAACTGTTAGATCCTGAATTATACATGCTTATATGCAAACACAAGGAGCATGAAACACGTCTAGACGACTGAGCTGTGGCTGAGACTTGAAGGATTAATCTTACAGTAGAACAAATGGAAAACTTCTAGCTAGGAAATGGAGGGAAATGAGGGAAATGTACAGACCATACAGCATTTAGAACAGGATGAAGTTTTGTTGTTCTTTTAGAGCAGGTATTTAGACTCTGGTTGCTGTGGGTTTTTTTTTCTTCTCTGATATGGCAGACAACCAGTAACAGAATTATTGGTGATTACTTTTTGCACTGCAGTATTATCTCCAAAGTTTAGTTGGGGATCAGCATCTGCATCACTTCCAGACATGCAGTGTTTCTCCATTTGCTTAGATGCCTATAAAACACTTGAACCTGAGCTGTAGAGTTCCTCTACTGTTTTGCTGCTCAGGAAAGAAACTTAAGAAACCTAACAAACAACAGTGTATGGCTAGTTCCACACAGAAATGTCCTGAGCAGGTAGCAAGTTTCAAAGAAGAGCTTTACTTTAGTCCTTTGGTCTAACTTAATACTTAACATTTCTGCCCAGCCTTGTGCGTTTCTCTGCAGGCTGGATCAGAGTTCATGCAGCCCTGTGTGGCTCTGTGCTCCCAACCCCATTCACCATGAACTTCAGTGAGGATGTCACAGAGGGCCGTGTGACTATTGTACAGTTAATTTCTCCAGTGGATTTCTACCCAAGAGGCCCCCTCTTTGCCCATTTTCTGCCAGATGGACTACAAAACTCAGCATGCTGATCTCCCTGTGCAGACTTGAACACAGCTTTATTTATCTTCTGTTAATGAAAGTGGGAAAACGAGAACAGCTCCTGTCTCCATCAGCCTGCAGGTATGCCTTTTGCAGGGATGGGCCAGTGAGATTCTGAAGCTGAACAAAGCCCTTTTAGAGGAAAACAATTACCTGAAGCTGCAACTTGAGTTGCTGAAAGACATACTGACAGACATGCAACAGCTCAACCATGCCTGTTGGAGGTGTAGGTGTCAGACTGCAACAAACAAACAAAAGAACACAGCAACAAAACACAACCAACAACAGGTAAACAGATGATGAGTCCTCCAAGAGGTCGTGGAAGCAAGACCCAGAAGTCTGCACATTCATCGCATCAAGAAATGTAGTAAAATCCTACATCAAAATTTTCTAGTGAGATTTTTGTCCCCTATCTCATGCTTTGCAGGTGCTCATCTACCGTGAGACTCCCCTTACTTTCAAAAGCACTTCTCAGATACGGCAGCACAAGAAAAGGGCTGCTGCAGTTAACAATGCCTTCAGTTGGTAATTGCTTTCAGTTTTCAAACACCACGTACACGTTGGTTAATTATAACTCTTCTGATAACTATTCCGATCTTTGCTTGCCTCTCTGCATGTGTGCCTCTCTGCTGCTCACTGTCACATTCTTCCTCCCAGTAGTGGCTGCACACAGCGCCTTGTTGGATGTGTCAGCCCAGGCAGGTGTTTTGCCTGCGCTTAATAGCAGTTACATATTTACAAAGAAGTCGTTTGACCTTTATTGTAACACTGGGAGAGTATGCGTGTAGCAGAACTGCTTCCCAGTGTAAACACAGGAAGATTTCCATTTCCTAAGTGACCTCTAAAGAGAAAAGTCAGAAAGCAGACTTCAACACGCATGTGATCGAGGGGGCATTCGATAGACCTGACTTTATTTATCACTGAAAAGCGGAGTGCACGAAACCAGACAGCGCAGCCCTCTGCAAAGCCGCGCACTGCTGCGGCTCGCGCTGCGTACAGCAGAGCCATCAATCAGACGCTGTAATGGAGACTAAAAAGGCCAGAACAATAAAATGGCACTTCGTAAATGAGCCTCAGCCTACGTTTATAAATATTAGCTGAAGCAGGACAAAAACGGCTGTCAGAAACGAGAACGTTTCGGCAGGGATTGGCGCAGCGGCTCACTGTACGCCGGCCGCTCGGTCAGGAAAGCCGTGAGGAGACGCCGCACCCGCGCAGCCCCGAGGTCAGCCCTTAGCAGCCCCATCCCTCCGGTCCTTCGCAGCTACTCGAAGCCTCCTAGCTCTCTCTAACGATACTTTCGCTAGGAGCTCTCTGCAGCAGCGCCCCACAGAAGCAGCAGGTCGGGCTAGGCGTGCCGCCCAGGGGCCGCGGAGCAAACGGTCCGTGACGGCGCAGCGCCGGCCCGCCGAGGGCTCCTCGCGGCCCTTCCCGCCTCTGCCCTGCCCTCAGGGCGGCCCCCGCCTCACGGCGCCCGCAGCCCCCGAGCGCCGCCCGCTGCGGCCAGGAGCGGCGCTGAGGAGGAGAGCGGCGGCGCTGCCCGCCCGGCTCCTTCGCGCGGGAGGCGGGGCCGGGCCCGCTGACGGCCGCAGTGCGCCGAGCCGCCGCTCCCCGCTCGGCGCCCGGAGCTGCGCGGTCGCAGAGCGCCGTGAGTGAGGGCGCGGGGCGGGGTTTGGTTGGTGCGAGGCGGGCGACGGGGACAAAGCGGCCGCCATCTTAGATCTGCGGGTGGACAGCGGCGGCGGAACGGGTGCGCGGGGCTGAGCGCACCCCGACTGCCCGGATCTGTAAGGCAAAGCGCGGGACCGGGCTGCGCGAGCGGCCACAGCCCCCGACCGCCAAGGGGCCATTAAGAGAGCGCCCCGCGCCTCTTCCCCCCTCCCCTCCATCTTCTTCCCCCCCTGCGGCGAGCGGCGGGACGTGATTGGTCGGTTTTAATTCATCGCGCTGCCATTGGCTGGCGGCCGGCGACGGGGTGGGGGCGGGCGGCGCGTGACGTCAGCGCGCAGCGCGGCGCGGCCGGCGGCTATTTATAGGAGCGGAGCGGCGCTGCGCAGGAGCGAGCAGGCGGGTCGGGCCTCGGCAAGGCCGGCGGTTTCATCGCGCCTCATCCCCGCGGGAAGAGGGAAAAAGAGGTCGGAGAGTCGCGATCCGCCTTCGCCGAAGCCTCTTTTCGGCGTTCGCTGAGCTTTTGTCTCCGTCTGTGCAGCGCTCGAGCGCCCCGTCGAGCTTTTGTCTTCTCCCGGGCCCTGTCCGGAAAGGCGCGGCCGAGATGGACCCCTGTCACACCGAGGAGACCGAGGGCGAGATCCCCGGCTTAGGTAAGGCCGCGCGGCGGTGGGCGGCGGCCGGGAGCGGCGTCGCGTGAGGAAAAACCGGTGGGGGTGGGGCGGCGGGTGGGGGAGGGGCGATCCGGGGCCCCGGCGCCGCGCGGCCCCCCCTCGCGTTGGCGCCTGCGGGCGGCGGGGCACGTACGGCGCTGAGGGCCCGGCGCGGCCGCGTGTGCCGCTCCCACCTTCCTGCTTCCTCTTCCCTTCTCCCCCCCACCCCCCCCGCGCCGCGTGCGTCGTGGCGGTCGTTGAGCTCCGGGTGGGGGTTACGGGTTGAGCTGGGCGGCTTTGGAACGGGGAGAAAGGTTTGAGGGGGGGGGGCGGGGAGAGAACAGTGCCGCGGGCGGGCTGCTGCGCGTTTGTTGTCCTGCCGACGGCTCCCCCCCCCGCTCCCTGCCGGCCTTGTGGGAAGGGGGGAGGAGGAGTGGGGGAAGGGGGATTCCGGTGATAAGGGAGGTCGTAAACAAGGCAACCTTAAATGAGAGTTTGTTCCAGGTGTAATCCTTCTGACTGCAGTAATGCCTGACCTTAAGTAGTGTAAATCCCTTGAAAACAGCCATTTAATGAAGCAGAAGTTGAAAGGAAAGGCTCTGGACGCCATAACAGTCTGATCTTAAAATGGTGAACTATGCCAATTATTGCAAAACAACCCTGCCCCGGCGCCTGGTATCTATATTTACCGGTTGTCAGTTGCTGATAACCGCTTAACTTCTCTGTGCTTGGAGCCAGTTACCAGCCCGTGTTATTTTAAAAATCTTTATTAAAGAGTAGAGAATATACACAAATGAAATACATTATCAAGGCACTCTGTATTTTTCTTTAAAATAGCCAGTAAAGTCTATCTAGAAAACCGCAGTTCAAACAAACAAAACTACTTTTCTGAGGCTTATAAGTTATACTGACAGTACATCTAGTTTAGCTAGAATGTCGAAGACCACGTGGTTGTTTGGTTTAATTCTTGAGTTCCAAGCATTTATGTTGGTCTTAATTCTTCTTAAGAAATCAGGAAAGATTTGATCTGTGGAAACAAAAGCGTAAGTTTAACATGTTTTAAAAAGAAATGCCAGAAATTTCCCCTTTTCTGAAGGAACAAAGGAGTTGTTACTGTACTCCTACTGTACACTGGTCTCCAGTGCTGTTTTGCCTCTACATATAATTCATCTACATATAATTCATGATCTGAAATGCCTTTTACTATAATTAGTACTAGGCAGACTTGAGTAACTTAAATAATTCATTAGAAAGATAGGGAAGGTAGCTTTACGGTATATTGTTTCATTAAAGAAAAATAGATATGCCTTCACTAAGTAGCTCTTCCTTAGGAAGAAGGGGGTTGTCTGAAAATTGAGCCAAAGCTCTGCTGTGTTTTTCACATTGGAAGATGCAAATTCATAGCAAACACCACCATGTTATGTTGACGGAACATTATGCGCCCAAGTATAGATTTTAGATTTAAACATCATTCTTCGTCACTGATGACCAGAACGAGACAGAAAAACAGTTCCTAGGATTTCTTTTGCTGTGGACTGGGTGCACAGTAGTTAGCTACAGCAGACTGCTTTGTAGCATTTATTCCCTGATCTTGTCTTTCCACAGAAAGCAAACACCATTTTGTTTTGTGAACTCAGTGTTCCTTCTGGTGGCTGTTGGATTTCTCTTTTCCTACTTAAAGTGTCACATCGTGCACATAGAGCTGCATACATCTTTCTTTATGTTTGTCAGATATGTTGTGCTGTCCATGGCCATGGCCAGCCTTGATATTAGTGTTTGAAGGAGCACAAGTAGTTCTAATCTGACTTGGAGTTTTCTAAAGGCATCATGGATGGCATGAATTGCACAGTACCACTGTGTAAGCTATTTAATGAATGGTGTGGCAGTGCAGACTTGACAGGGGGCAGTCAGTCTGACTGGCCTCCATATCTGCTCCTCCTTAAAAAAAATAGTAGTTTTTCCCTGGAACTGCTTCAAGTAAGGGATTAAATGGTTTTGTGGAGGAAAATGAAATGCCTCTTTCTCATCCATGTGATGAAGAGGCCAATTGTAGAAGCCCCAGATTACTACTACATAATTGTTGTATTTTGAATTTTTAAAGTAATGCATTAAAATCATAAAAATTTGATAACTCGCAATTTTTACTGCAGGAGAAAACATGTAATACTTACCTCATCAATCAGGTACTCCTGTTTAATTTTATCATTTTTAAAATCTTCATTAACATCCAAAACAAGAATGGGAATCTCTTTAAGGTTCTCAAAATCAACTCTGTTAAAAGATGAACATTATATAAAGTAATTTAACAAAGTTTTACTCACATTGTTCTAATTGCTTTCCAAGACATCTTGGATTATCACATACATTTGGGATGTTGATGCTGATGACTTTGGTATAAGTTCAAGTCTGTCCTTAATCACTCATCAGCACTGCATCACTGTAATGTATGTTTCACAGGTTTGGCCCTTCACTGACTCTTGGTAGGAAGAGGAAAAACATTCGTTATGCCTCTCTACCTCATTCTTTTTTGCTGTGGAGTCAACTATCAGGAATCTGATTTTTACAAGAGGGAACAAATGTTTTCTTCTGAAGTACCTCTTGCCCTGTGTGTGCCCCACCACCTTTGCAGTTAGCTGCTAATCCATTTACCAAGATGAAGTTTTAAAGCTCCCTTTGGTGGGAATGACCTCTAACAGGTTCTAAGGCTGGTGTTTAAAATTGCTAGGAGGCAAGCAAGACAGTTTCAGCTGCAGCCTGAGAGCAGTGGCTGTGCTGCTAGATGTCACTTAGAAAATTAGTGATTTAAGAGAACCGTCCATGCTTGAAAACAATCTCCAAAATGCAGTAAAGGGTGCTGAACAGCATTCTAACTTGTATTAAAAATACAGGAAACGTTTGCTCATGTGTTTGGAATGAGTACACAATGTAAATGTTACAATTCCACAACACTGCAATACATTCTTGTCTCCTGAACTCTTGGGTCATCCTACATGAATTCTGGACTTAGTAGAAGCAGATGTCTGTTCAGCCTAACGTACTTTTCTTGGAATTGTTTTGAATCTGTTAGTACACCATCTGGAAGTAGTTTTGTTTATTTCAGCTGAAAAGTCATGCTTGCCTACCAGGAATATCCCGAACTCTTTTATGATCTTTTTGTTGTTGCAGTGAACTTAATATGCTGATGTCATTTATTACTGCTGCAGTCAGTAATAAATGTTTGACCTCTTGCTTTACATTCAGTAGATTATTTCAGGTTCTTACAGGGAAAACCTGAAGTTAGCATTCATGTTCAGCTAATTCCTATGTAGGGAAGCTAATAAGTATGACTCAGTAAGAGTCTAGGGGGAAAAAAGACATGCAGAGATAGCTTAGTCACTGGCATGTTTCCTTCATACAAGGGACTGCCAGAAGCGTTTCTGATAATTGCTTATTTTGAAGCTAGGATTAATATTTAAACCTTGCTGAGATGCAGTCACCCTAGTTTAAAGGTAATCAGGACTTTACCTTCCCTTACACTGGCAGTTGCTTAGTAAGGAATTAGCCACTGAGTCCAATTCCAACTGCCATATTTCTATGTACTTCCAGTTCTAAACTTAAGGAATTACTGGAGAAAAATTATAACTGCATAGCTTTTCAGTTGAAGCTAATGCTTAAGTGAGTCATTCGAACTATGCCTGAGTGAAACCAGAGTTAGATCGTAGTTTTTACCCCTAACCAACTTTATCAGAAGGTAGGAAAAAAGCCTTGTTTATAAGTTGAAATGAGAATTAGCTGGTTGTCTGGTTCCTCATGGCAACAGCTTATTTAAGCAATTTTGCCCACAGGTTCGTACCTCATACTTCTTTCACAAAGCCACGTCTCATGTTTATAGTGGAGGTTTTCCAAATACTCGAGGTCAATTCCTTCCTCCTCTTTTCTTCCCCTCTTCTGTAGTCTTTCCATGCATTTCTGAAAAATTGCAAGCCTGGATGTTAACAGTGTATTAAAGCAGTCAAATCAGAACCATTAATGTGTAACATGAAAAACTATGAAGGTTTCAAAAGCATTAGACATCAGTGAGTATTTGAATGCTTGGATGAGTCAAAAGTAAACAGTTCTTACTGAAAGATTCTTTCCTTCCCATACGCTGTTGTTGAAGTACAGCTTTAAAATGAGCTTTGGATGCTTAGTGACTAGGAGATAATAGCAAAAACAGCATTTGTAGGCATCAGAATAGCAGCTCAGAAAGGATGATATGTTTAATTTGGTCTCTAATGCAAATGTGAGTTTACTGTAGGCTTCTCATTACTTTTGGAGGAGAAAATGCTAGTTCAGTGTGTTAGTGTGAAGTCACTGCAGTATGTCATGAATACTTCAGTATACCTGAGGTGTGGTCCTTAGGTAGATCATGCCATCCAGTTCTATTTCAGATTGAAACTGATTTAAAAGCCATGTGTGCCAGTCCTGATAGATAGTCCACTCTGTTTCATTGATGTTTCCAGATTCAAACAGGTTAGAAGCAAACACATACCTGCAATGAAAGAAACTGGTGTCATGGTAGGAATAATGTAAGTGAACTTCGTAAGTACTTTCCATCAGAATCAGTAGCAAGAGCATCAGTGACATAGTCCTACATCCACAGTGCTCCCTACATCGTTGAACTCATGCTTGTTGGTTAATACTGCTTCTTACAGATTAGTTTAAGTGTTGGAGATGTTAGCCAGCTCAGTGTTGAAGCTGTTAGTCTCAGCTCTTGTTGCATTGGTTCATTACCTGTCACTGTACACAGATCTCTCAAAAAATTGCACTGGATGTTCTGCTTCATGCAGCTTGGCTGAGATGGGTTTCAGTTGTGCCCTTACTCTGCTCAAGCAGGCATAAGTCTGAAAAGTATAAGCCCATCTTGTAGGTTTATCATACAGCATTTGAAGTAGGTTTCCTCCACTCTTCTGAGAAGTTGAAAGTTCCTAGGGGAGAAGAGAGAGAACTTTCATAGGGTTTCATAGGGTTTTATCCCTTCCTTAATGTCTAAGAAAAGCACAGTGGGGATGACTGGTCTTGGTAGGAAACAGCATCTCTAGAAATTAAGTATAGGTGAACTTTGGCACGATTTCCTTGGCCAATGAGTTCAGCTTTCCTCCCATGCCCACCTTTCCTTGGCCCCCCCGGCGCAGCACACCCACCTCGCACTCATCCTCACTGGTCTGGATGTTGCACCACTTGGCGATGGGCTCGGGGATCACCTCCCACTCATCGCTGTGCTTCTCCAGCAGCCTGACAAGTGTAGACTTTCCAGCTGCTGCAGAAGATTCGTAAAATTCAGAGCGTGAGTGTGAAGCGGGCTGTTGTGGCGGACAGGATCGTGGCAGCTGTGAGTTCCTTAAGAGACTGCAGGCTGCATTTGTGCAGTGCTGGGCGTGCAGAGCTGCGCGTGCACGGCCCTGCCATCGCATCTCGGGAGCTGCTCGGAGCAGGGCCGGGCGAAGCTCAAGTACATTCTGGGAAAACGGCGCTAATCTGCAGCAGCGGGGCTGGGTCCGGGCGATAAGGAGGTAGCGGGGCCCTCGTGGGGCCGCCCGCGCCGCCATTTTAGGAGCAGGCAGTGCCGCATTGTTGGCGGGCTGGCGGGGGAGAGCGGGGCTGCTGCGCGTGCGCGGCGCCGGGCCGGAGAGCGGGGAGAGAGGAGGCCGCGCGCATGCGCGATGTGAACGTTCAGCTGGCGGCGGCCGAGCGCCGGTCTGCAGCGCCGCTTGCGGGCGCGAACTCCCGAGCGGGGTAACGGGCGGGGGCTCGCGGCCGCTTCCAGGTGGATGCGGCTGCGCCAGGAGGAGCTGTGTTGTTATAGCGCCCGGCGGCACCGCTGAGGTACATAACAAGGATGGATGTATCCGTCCCGGGTGGCCGGCGGCTGCGGACGGTGCAACGCCGTGCCTCCACCGCTCGCCCGCCGGGCCCGGAGCTTCGCGGCACGGCTCCTCCGGCGCGGTCCGACTGTGCCCTCACCCCTTCCCCCTCGCCGCCGTTCCTCCCCCCTAGGGATGGGGAAAAGCCGCTCCCACCCGAACGTCCTCCGCCCGCCCCGCTCACCGATGTTGCCCTCGATGGAGATCTTCCTGAGGCGCTTCTGGAAGCTGGAGTCCAGCTCGGGGCCGCGGCAGCGCCTTTTGGCGGGAGCGGACATGGCGGGAGCGCGGCGCTGCGGCTGCGGCCCGCTTTAAGGCTCCCGCCGAGCTGGGCGGGCTCTGCGCCGCCCGCCCCTCCCCTTCATTTCCCGCTCTGATTTGCATCGGCCTCAGTGGGCTCCCCGTGCTGGCGGCTCCGTGCCGGGCGTGCGTCCCCTCCTCCCCGCGCGGTTACCGGGCTGGGTTCTGTGGCGCTCGGTTGGACGCGGCGCCCCGCGCCGTGTGAGGGGCTGCAGTTAGCGCCGTAACTCTGTTGTCTCCAACAGCGAGGTGCAGGGTGAAACTAGCTAGGGCCAGTGTGTTTGGAGGAGATGGGAGGGATGAATATTTTCCTTTACGTTATGATAATTGTGACCCATGTCTCTTCTTTCCCCATCTCCTACAAACACACCAGGCTTCAGTGACCGAAGCGAGCAGATTGTTTCACGTGGTGTAGCGTCAGCATTTGAAGCTGGTAAGTGCCGGTTCCCGCACAGCTCCGCTCGCTCAGAGCTCTCCACGCGCCGTGTCGGAGCGGGTCGGGTGGCGGCGGTGCGGCCCGGCGGGAGGCCGAGGGGGGAAGCGGCCCGCGGGGCATGCGCAGTGTGGAGAGCCGCGCTCAGAGGCGCATGCGCGCGGGCCCGGCCCGCGCTCTGCGCGGGAGTGAGCGCCTTGGCTTTGTTCAGCGCAGTAGGCAGGCGACGCATGCGCACGAACCGTGGGGGAGGGGGTGAAGGGAGGCGGGAGGGGGAGCGTAGATTAGCGAGGACGCATGCGCAACTTGGCGGGAGCGGCGCGGGGATCGTCTGCGTAGGGGTTTGTGTCCCGGGGCGGCCGAGCGTGGCGGCGCTATAGAGCATGCGCAGGCGGGGGGGGGCGCTGAGAGGCTCCCCGATTGGCGGCGCGGGGCGCGTGCGCGCCGCCCCAGCCACGCCGAGGTTGCGGCGAGCGGCGCGGCCCGCTCTGGTGACCGCACGTCGCGCTCCCGCCGAGTTCCGGGCCCCGCGCCGGGAAAGAGCGCGGTGAGCGTCGGCGGGGGCTGCCGGTCGTCGGGCCCCCCAGGGCGGTGCGAGGGGTCGGGGTTCTTTGTGCGGCGGAAGGCCCGGCCCAGCGGAAGCGGGAGTACCCGCCGCCATTTCCTAGCGCGCTCTCGCCACAGGCTCGCCCGCTTGCTGCCGCCTGACTGGGACTAGGCGCTCTCCGGACAGCGGATCAGGCTCGGAGCCCTAGAACCACCGCGGAGCCCCACCATGTGTGCGTGCGGGGATGGGGGCTGGGCGCGGGCAGGGGGGGCGGCTGCGCCGGGCGGGAGCGGCTCTGTGTGTGTGAGGCGGGCAGCGGTCCGAGGTAGAGGAGGCTCAGGGGGGAGGGCTGGGCCGGGCCGGGGGTCCGCCGGGCGCTCTGAGGGGTGCGGGTGGTGACCACACTTTGCGGCAGCTCAAAAGGACTGCTTTGGTCTTGTGCAGCCACCACCGAGACCGAGGCGGAGCCAAACCTGACCTCCAATGTGATGCTGAACACGGAGAGCAGCGAGGGATACGTGGTGAAAGTGAGGGGGCTGCCCTGGTCCTGCTCCACCGAGGAGGTGCAGAGATTTTTCTCTGGTAAGCAGAACTGAGGGAATCAGGCTTTAGGGGTCTGGCATTCATTGGAGTTTCTCCAGGCATGCTGCAGCTGGTGGGTGAAGGAATTTCAGGGTACTTCAGTAGCCAGCAAAGTTTATGAAGCGAGAGCCCCAGCTAGGGTGCAGTGTAGAAAGCCATGCTTGTCAAGCAGGAACTGAGCAAATGTAGCTAACGGAGTTGCTGGAACACCTACAGCTCTTTTTGAGCCACCAGGGCAGAGAATCTTCTGCTTGAATGAAAATTCCTTATTGCAAGCTTAATTAAAGTAGTGTTTGATACTGTTGTAACTGGCTAACTATTTCAGGAATTTGATGCATTAGATCTGGTCCTGACTTTGTTCATTATGCTCCACTTGATTGTTAGTACTTATCTCAATCTGTGCTGACTAGAAAGTCTGTCAGCTGTGATCAGAGGTGTATTTAACTTCACTTGAGACAGCGAAACATTTTTCTAAAAAAAAAAAAAAAAAAAAAGGTTAGCTTGCATTGATCCATAATGTTAATCTTTATAGTCTATAGCAGAAAAATAAGTTGATTTTAGCTAGACCCTCAATTAAAAAAAAAAAAGCATATTTCAACAAGAACACTGCTAGCTTTGTCTTACACAATTTCAGTTATTTGTTTCCTTTTAGAATATCTGAAGCTTTTAAAGCTGCCACATTCCTCTAACAACTAAATTAATGGAGCTTCTTGTTTCTGTTTTTCAGACTGCAAAATTCTGAATGGAGCTTTGGGTATTCGTTTCATCTACACAAGGGAGGGCAGACCAAGTGGAGAAGCATTTGCTGAACTTGAATCAGAAGAGGATGTGAAATTGGCACTGAAAAAAGACAGAGAAACAATGGGACACAGATACGTTGAAGGTTTGATTTGGTCTAGTAACTGACTAGATGTATTTGTATTTGGTGGGTTTTGGTGATCTGTTCTGTCTCTAAAGTGCATGTGAAAGGACAAATGGACTTCTGTTGTATCATAAGTTGACTAGTTTCAAGGCAAATGGCTTTAAAAAGAGCTGAGCGTTCCTCAATGCATTAATTCTAAGTGCCTTTTACAGTTTTCAAGTCAAACAACGTTGAAATGGATTGGGTTCTGAAGCATACTGGTCCCAACAGCCCTGATACGGCTAATGATGGTTTTGTACGTCTTAGAGGACTCCCATTTGGCTGTAGTAAAGAAGAAATTGTACAGTTTTTTTCAGGTATGTCGGGTAAAAGTACTAGCTGTAGCAGTAATGGTTAATGCTAAAAGGAGAAAAAACAACAACAACAACTAACAAAACCAGCAACCAAAAAAGAAACGACCCCCAAAATAAAAATGCACTCCTGGCTGCCCAGTAATACCTCCAGCAACATGCTGATCTGTATTAAGAACAAATAAGCAGTTGTCAATTAATTATCTGGACTCACAAGATAATTTCTTAAGTATTTATTTTACTAAATAACTCAGGAATCTTGCAAAAGCTGTCCTGATTCATAGGTGTGGTGCAGACTGTTCCAAAGAAAGGATAGCAGGAAACATTTTGCTTTCTGAACCACAAAAGAGTGATTCAAGTGGAAAGAGATTTCCTCTCAGCCTTAGCTAGTTCATGTGGCTAGTTCTGGCTTCTTCTGTGAAGGATGTAGGAGGGCAATGCATTGTGCCACTGATTTATTAAAAAACATGGATTTACTACTGAAAAATACCCCAGGTAAAAACAAACAACAACAAACAGCAAAGCCATCCAGCTGAACTGTGCTGGAGTACAGGTTTTCCCGTGCCCATCCCCCTTCCCCTTGGTGTTGAATAGCTTAGTCGTTTCTGATGAAGAGAGGATGTCTTGACTTTAATTTTCACTTTCTTGCAGCTGTTGTGTATATATTCTTATTTTCTTAGCAATGGGATGCCATTATAAATGCTAAGAATGAAATCTGTTCTCCTGTTAATGATCAAACGTGTCAGAATTTTTGGAGTAGTAACTATCTACTATCTAACTGTAAATGTTACACGTGCTAGACTGTTACTAGCAGCCTTTAGGTGACTCAACCTATTGTCTTTCTTTTAAAGTATTCAAAATACTCCGATGAGTTCGGAAGGCTTTACTGTATTCTGAATTAGCAATGCATTTTGCAATCGAGCAGTTCCAAAGTGTGTACATTTTAACTTGACTTAGCTATGGTTAAATTATTTAATCTTTAAAGACTGTTAAATGTGCTTAGTATATGAAGTGTGCCTCTTGTGTTCATTATCTAATACTTTTGAAATTCATGATTTCTCTTAATTAAGCACTGAAACTTAACATTTGTGTGATTATTTTACTTGACTGACTTCTAGTAAAAATAGTTGTTGTGTGAAGTTGTTTACCTTGATGTGTTTGAATCTGTTACATTGAAAAGTTCGTCTTAAAATCAAATACTTTCACAGAGTTGAAAAGATTTTTACAGTGTAACCTTCTTAATGCACCCTGCCTTAGATGCCTTCTCTGAGGAGTTATTTTTGACACTCAGAACTTGTCAGTGCTCTGCAGGGTGGATTAAGAACATAAACAGAATGGTATGTGATGATAAATTTCTTCTGTTTACATGCTTTTTCCTCTAGTGTTCTAGAATCAACATACCATTCATTTACAAATACTGAACTTCTGGTGTATTTAAAGCTATAAGAAAACTCATGACTGGGCTTGTGATGTTAATATTGCCCCCTACTGGGGTTATTTGTCCTTGGGTTGAAGGGTTGGAAATCGTGCCAAATGGGATAACATTGCCGGTGGACTTCCAGGGGAGGAGTACGGGGGAGGCCTTCGTGCAGTTTGCTTCACAGGAAATAGCTGAAAAGGCTCTAAAGAAACACAAGGAAAGAATAGGGCACAGGTGGGGATGGATGGTTGGTTGGATATGTCGCTTTTCTTATGGTAACCAATTAAATCCATATTCTCTCTTCTGAAAATGTTTCATGTCCAAACAAATCCAGCATTTTGGTCTCTAACTTGGTCATCAGTTAAAGGTACTAACTTATGTGCAGCATGGCACAGACTGTCTGCATTGACAGAAAACATAAAATTGGGCTCAGCTTGCATGCTTTGAGAACGTGGTCATTCTGGA